TTAAACACAGTTATTCCATCGTCCTTGCCACTTTCTGAAGCAGTCCTGAAAATCTTTTATAAGTCTCTAGTTATGCTGCTAGGATCACCTCCAGGTCCTGGACCAATTCAAAATCTTGAACTGGGCAGTCATTTTGAACTTGAGGACGAACTGGAAGCCACGCAGAGACTCCCTGTGATGCTCTTCACAGGGCTGCCCTCCCTTTGGGGGGACCCAGCAGTGGCCTTCACTGCATTTTCAATCATACCTCAGGAAGATATGAAAGAAGACTTCCAGAGGTGTTTCAGAAAGTGGCTGGGGACATAGCTCAGTGGCATAAGCACCTGCTTGGCAAGTGCAAGGTCCCGAGTTTGATCCCTAGTGATGTTAAGAGAGACAGAGAGACAGAGAGACAGAGAGACAGAGAAAGAAAGTGGCACTGGCAATGGGGTAAACATATGTAAAGTAAGGGCTGTGGACATGAGTGCTGTTATTTTTACTCTTGTTGTCCAAGTCGTAGAGGACCATCAACGCCTTAGTGAGGGAGCTAGAGGGTCAGGAAGGCAGGAAGGCGCCACCACAGCCTGAGTCTGTCTGCACCTTCTGGACACAGGGAGGAGATAGACGCTAAGTGTTTCCATGGAGGTCTCTCTGAAGAAGCCCCATAGGAGGAGGAGGCAGGGAGGAGGAAGAGGGGAGGCAGGGGGGAAGCAGCTGGTACCCCAAGTGGAAGGACGTCTGAGCTGCCCGTACTAAGGTGGTCCCAGAGTGCAGACTGCTTTGTGGCAGACATGTCATCGGAGCTGGGCCTTGAAGGCTGAGGGGGAGGGAAAGGAACCTGTGGGCTCCATGAAGGCACTAAGCCTGCAGAGAGCGGGGGCTGGCATAATCCCAGAAGCACACACATCTGCTGGGCAGTGACCTGACCTCTCGGTAATGGGTGCCCTAGTGCCCTGTGGCAGGCACGGGATTGTTCTTTTTTTTTTTTTGGTGGAACCGGGGATTGAACTCAGGTCCTTGCGCTTGCCAGGGAAGCGCTTATTCCATTGAGCCACCTCCTCGGCTGGCACGGGATTGTTAAGCAAGATTGGGAATTGGGAAAACTTCCTGGAGAGGATACATGTGGCCCCATGCCAAGGTTTGAAGGTAACAGGAAGTTCATGAGCAACTCAGACAGGAAATGGCATATGCCAAGGCCCCGCCGCAGAGGGGGCCTGGGACGTCTGGCAAACAGAACAGGGATGCTGGAGACTAGGCCCCAGGGAACCAGAAATGCATACAAGATGCAGCTGGGCAGGCTGAGGGCCTTCAGGCTTCTTGGAAGGTTCTAGACTTTTCTCCCAAGGCCCCTCGGAAAGTGGGAAGAGGAAGGCTGCAGTGAGAACATGTCACGTGTGAGCACACAGTGGGCACATGGTATTGAGTTAACAGTAGCCACGATCCCATTTAGCCAGTGCCCCAGCACTTGGGACTTCCCAGCTGCTGGGAAGTGATGGCTGCACCTTCTCCTGCTGTGAGTGAGTTTGAGAACAGTGCACCCCACGTGTGTCATGTCTCGGCTCCTGTTTCCTCCTTGGGACTGATGGTTTGTGGTTTTTGTTTTTGGGGTTTGTTTTTTTTTTTTTGGGAGGGGTGCATTTATTTATTTATTTACTTATTGTTTTTTTGAGACAAGGTCTCACTATGCAGTTCAGACTGGACTTGAGCTCACTTTGTAGCCCAGGCTGGTCTCAAATTAGCAGCAGTCCTCCCTCACCCTCCCAAGAGTTGGAACTACAGGCCTGGGCCACCACGCCCAACCCTAACTGATGCTTTTTAAAAAGTCAGATCCCACTCTGAGGAGGGAGTTGTGACTCGGCCTCCTGCCCACAGGAGAGCATCCCAGGGCAGTGTGTTACTCCCCTTCTGCCACCACTGTCAAGAGCTAGAGACTAGCAAGCAGCTCACGCGGGCTCCACTGTCTCTGCAGTCAGCCTGGTGATTCCCAGCAAAAACGACTTTGCTGAGTTTTGTTGGTATGAAGGGATTATACATCTCTGTTGGCAGAGGGTTTTGTACTCACCTGGCAACAGAGTGAGATCTGGTTGGAGTGGAGGTTTGAGAGACGGACCTGACATCATTTTTAGGAACTCCATTCCCTGGCTGCTTTGCTTTGATCACAAGCTCATGATGGCTGGACTCTGGGGAAGAAATGAGCACTTTGGGTCCCTTCCTGTGGCCCGGTTTTGCTCATCTTGTCCCCAGGGAGGTTGGGGTGAGGGAACTGAGGGGGGGGCCAGTCCTGTATGGACAGAGTACCTCATAGGGACCCCCCAGCTCCTGCCACAACTTGGAGCACCGGTGGCCTTCCTGGGAAAGGCTGGGTTTCCAGAGAAGGTGACTCAGCCCCCCACCTAGTCACTGAATGACAAAGTGTTCAGCCTCCTGAGGCATGGTGGTCTGTACTTCACAGGGTTAGTGTGGGATGTGATTGATCAGTGTAAATGAGTGGATAAGGACCTAGAACAACACCTGCATGCTAGAGGCCCCTGTGAACAAATAGCCACAACATGCTTGTGCCAAGAGCTCTGAGGACACTGAGGCTGAGTCAGGGTGTGGGCGGCCTGGTGACAGATCCGATGGCATAGAATGGAGCCCAGGCAGGAAAGGGGGAGGAGGAACAACCCAGGCAGAGGGGACAGTGGGTGCTGACAGAGAGTGGCAAGGCTGGCAGTGTGATTGGTGCAAGAAACCTTCGTCCTTCAACAGGGCTTCTGAGCAGAGGGCAGGGGAGAGCTATCTCCAGGGACCCGGATGAAGCACTGCCCCACAGTCAGTGAAACTGTGCAATGTGTGTGTGCGTGTGTCTGTGCATGTGTGTGCATGTATTTCCATGTGCTCACACACGTATTTGTGTGTTCATGCATGCATATGTGTGTGTACACGTATGTAGGTATAGGCGTGTGCTTGTATCTCTGTGTGTGCATGGGTGTGTGTAAGTGTATACACACATATGCATGCAGGTGTGTGTGTGTGTGTGTGTGTGTGTGTGTGTGTGTGTGTGTGCGCACTCATTCCTGGAACAGCACAGGATGGTGAAGTTCTCTCTGGAGCCCCGATGCTGTCACCAGCTCTCCATCCTCTGTGCCTAGGGCTCTCCTACCATGAGTCCCCTTCCCCAGGGCTGATGGGTCTGCCCGGTGTGGGCCAACTTGCTGTCCTTCCCTGGCTCCACACCAGGGCCACAACACAAGTCCACATGTCAGGCCAGGAGTCATAAAGATAGAGTTAGCAGTCCCGTGGTCACTTGCTGCCACTGCCCCCCCATACTGCAGCAGGTGCTCCTCGTGGGCCACGCGGCTGTTGCCCCCCAAGCCCAGACTTGACCTCAGGCTCCTTCTGAACCCAGAGCCCAGACAGCACTGTGGGTGTCCTGGGCAGGTGAGAAAACGTGTGCTGCTGCCCTGCGCCACCGCCTTCCAGCCTCACCCCCTGCCCCAGAGTTCCTTTGATTCAGGAACTCTGCTGAGGGGATACAGGCACATGTCATCCATTTACAGGGCCAGAAAAAGGCAGGTGAGAGAAGGTGGAACCCATCAAGGTACAGCATCTGCAGTTTAGAACTGAAACCCACTAGCTTTTACAAGGAATGTGAGTCCCTGGTTTCCACTTTTAAAAAGAAAGAGTGAAAGAAACTACTTGTTTTAGTACAATAGGCTCTGCTCAGGCGGTGCCCTGGGCGGGGAACATGCCCAGCTTCAGAGGCTCCTTTCAGAGGCTGTGGGGTCTAGGGCAGGTGGGCCAACCTCTCTGCACCTCGGTTATCCCTTTGCTGCCTGCCCCAAGGTGGGGTCGTGAGGATAAATGACAACATGCGTGTGAGTGCTCTTTGAAGTGTGTGTGAAGTCTCCTGCGTGGGAAAGGGGTGACGAGCTACGTCTTATCCCATGGATTGCTCTTCACTGCCTTGAAAGTTTGGGCATGGGCAGGATTCTACCTGAGGTCCCCCGACTGAAATTTGGTGGTCCTGTTACTGCTGACAGCCGGGCAGGGTGACAAAGTAACTTGGGTTGAGATCGAGGCCCTGAAAGTGCCTCATGGATCAAGGAATCACAAGGCAGGGACCGTGGTTGGGTTGTGAGCTACCCAGCCCCACTGCACCCCAGGTCAATGGGCCTCTCCAGTGCCACATCAGGGCATCTGCCAAGTATGCCAAGCATGCCACAGTGCCACGCAGAAGAGACACAACATCAGGGCAATCTTGCTTTCTAAACCTATTCTTAAGGTAACTGACCCAGTCCCACAAGACCCACCTCACTCTTGAGAGGTCCAGTCCAGTCTCTTAAGAAAGACATGAGGGGCCAGGGAGATAGCTCAGCAGCTTGAGCATCTGTCTGGCAAGCACAAGGTCCTGAGTTCAATCCCCAGTACCAACAAGAGAGAGAAAGACACAAGTCCGTTCATAAGGGTGGAACCCCACGGTCTAGTGATCTCCCAAATGTCAATAGTATCTTAATTGGGAGTCACCTTTCAGCATGAGCTTTGGTGGAGACAAAGCACACTGAAACCTCGGGAGCACCCTACATGTGTGTGTCATGTTTCTTGTGATTTTTCCCAAAGAGGAAAAGCATTTGGCAGTCAGTGGCTACGAGACCGTAGCCAAACAGGGAGACGCTGGAGGCCGCGGCACGGGGTTAGGGGAATTTCCTCTTGCAAAGGCGGACAGAGATTCACAGGCAGGTTCCGGCAGAGATGAGAAGAGGGAGGAAGAGAGAGGAGGATGGGAGACAGGCCCTACAGAAGCTAAGAGAGGCACGACAAGAGGAAAGTAGCAGAACAGGAAGCGGGGACACCAGAAACTCCGTAGGAGGAGCCTAGTCTGCCATTCAGACGCCCAAAGAGCGGGGTTTCTGCTTCCTCCATCAGCTGTTGAACTGCCCGTGTCAGGGGAGACCAGGTGGACCCTCCACAGTGGAGGCCCCGCCACACCCCAGGCCAGGCCCCCACCTGCCTGACTCCCACGTTCCTCCTCTCGCACCCAGGATTCACAGACACCTTCAACATGGACACGCGGAGGCCGCGGGTCATCTCGGGCCCCAAGACCGCCTTCTTCGGCTACACAGTGCAGCAGCACGACATCGGAGGCAAGAAGTGGTGAGTAACAGCGGGGTCCCCCCACCTCCACCCCCAGCCTGAGTCCAGCCCCTGCGCGGCCTGCCCTGTCACCTAGAGCTCAGCATGCTGGTGGCCGAGTCTTTGTCCCAACGGGTCAGAGGCCAGTCACTCTGCAATGACTGATTCTTCCCTTCATGGTCTGTTTCCCATGCCCCGGGCCCTGTGGTCTGTGGACATCACCTCCTCTGGACCACGTGACAAAGATATCGGGCAGCTCAGTGCGCCTGGAATTGCATGACTCATTCAGTGGGGGTCAGCTCAGGTCCTGCCCTGTTAGAGAGCTGTTGGGGGCTCTGCTGGGCTGGGGGTGGGGTGAAGGGAGCTGGATATCAGACCAAGTTGGGGGGTAGAAGGATCCTCATGGCCACTGACTGCCAAATGCTTCGCCTCTTTGGGAAAATCGCAAATAATATCAGCACGCGCGCCTGGCACTGCTGTGGTTTCCTCATGCTTTATCCCCACCCAAGCGTGTGCAAAATGTGACTCCCAGTAGGATGGTGTTGAGGAGTGGAGGGGTCCCTAGGAAAGCATGTTAGTCCATGGCTCCCCCTCCCCGCCTGGGTGGATTCGTGCCTGCCTTCAGAGACTGGATTAGGGGTCTCAGGAGCCAGATGCGTCTTGTGAGACTGGATCAGGGCGATCATAAACGGAAGGCTCCACCTCTTTTTTTTTGGAACTGGGAATTGAACTCAGGTCCTTGCGCTTGGCTTATTCTACTGAGCCATCTCCCCCCCCCCCAGCTCGTTTTTAAAAATAAGTTTGTTGCATATTTCATCATAGAATTCATTCACATCAAGTGGACAAGTCAATGCTTCTTAAGTAAATTTACCAAATGATGCAACCCTCACCACACATTAGTTTTAGACCACGTGCATCGCCCCAGGCCGAGCCCTCCTGAACCTTTACCCGTGATCCCTGTTCTCCTGTCTGGCTGGGTTTTAGCAGCAGAAAGCAAGGCTCCCTTTCTTTCCTGGGATGGAAAGGACCTGGTCTCTGTTTGGCCCTGTTAGAAGCCTGTCTGAGTCTTATTTTCTGTGGCTACAATGAAAGAGCTGAGACTGGAGGCTTTAGAAAGAAAAAAGCTTTATTTAGTTCACGGCTTGGGAAGCTGATGGTCCAAGATTGGGTGGTGTCATGGCCACAGGTGCAAGAGAGATCACACGGTGACACAGAAAGCCAGAGAGGCTGTCATAGCTCAGTCTTGCGAGAAGTAACTAATTCCACACTCGGCAGGAGCCCTTTTGAAGCCTACCACCTAGTGACCAATTACTCTGCCCTGTATCCTACTTCCTAAAGGTCCCTACCCCATTGCCATTACATTGAGCTACACCCCCATCTTTTCTCTATTTTTTTTTCTTTCATTTTTTGTTTTTGAGACATGGTCTTGGTAACTTGCTCAGGCTGCGCTTGAACTTGTGATCCTCCTGCCTCAGCTTCTGAGGAGCCAGGCTTACTGATGCGTGCTACCATACTTGCCTCTTCGGCATCCTTTAGTCCACACTGTGTCTATGAGGGTTCAACTCACTGGTGACCGTGCTGGGCTTCACACCTCCCCTCTATGCACCCTATGCCTTTGTATTACTGTGGCCAACTCTCTGTTCACCATTGGTCCCTTGGGTCACTTGAGATGTTGGGGGCTACATCTAAAGGAGATGCTGCTAACATTCTTGGGTAAGAGACATACATCATCGTTGTCCTTGTGTAAGCTCAAGGTTGGAATTGCTTGGATAGAGTGTAGGTGTATGATTAACTTTCGTAGCGCCTGCCAAACATTTTTTTTTCCCCTAAGTGGTTCACTGATAGAAATTCTTTTTAGCAAAATAAGAGAGCCCCACATCCTCACGAACACGTGGTATTTTCAGTCACTTTAATGTTAGCCGTTCCAGGGGCTTGTAGTGGATTCCCACTGTGGACCTGACCCGCCCTTCTCTACTGGTCATGCTGGGCAATGTTGGTAAATTCATTGGCATTTTGACACTCATTTTTTTCCTCAGTGTCTGCCCAGTCCTCTGTTTATTTTCTGTGTTGTGTGTCTTCTGATAGATGTAAAGGATGATAGAAATCTGCTCTGTAGACACACGTGGTGGTGTACACCTGTAATCCATGCACTTGGAAGGCTGAGGCCCAAGCACCACTGTGAGCTCAAGGCCAGCCTGGACTATGCAGTGAGACACTGTCATAAAAAGTGCAAGTCCTGCGTCAGAAGCATGCACATCTCATTAAAGTCAGCTCATTAAAGTCAATTTATAGGGGCTGGGGAGATGACTCAGTGGAATATGCGCTTCCCTGGCAAGCGCAAGGGCCTGAGTTCAATCCTCGGTTCCACCAAAAAAAAAAAAAAAAAAAAAAGTCAATTTTTTCCCATCTTGCAAGATGGCAGGTGAAAAAAACTGAGAAGCCAGACACTAAAGAGGAGAAACCCGAAGCCAAGAAGGCTTCTGCCCGTGGTACTGGTGAAAAGGTGAGGCGAAGGCAAAAAAGTCCAAGAAGGGGCAGCCCCACTGCAGCTAAAATGCTGTCCTGGTTAGAGGAGTTGGTAGATACTCCCGATCTGCTATATATTCCAGACAGGCTTTGTACAAGAGAAAGTACACAGCTGCTAAATGAAAGGTTGAGAAGAAAAAGAAGGAGAAAGTTCTTGCTACCATCACAAAACCAGTCGGTGGGGACAAGCATGGAGGTAGCCGGGTGGTTAAGCTTTGAAAAATGCCTAGCTCCTACCCTACTGAAGATGTGCCCTGAAAGCTCGCGAGCCACAGCAAGAAACCCCTCAGTCAGCATGTGAGGAGACCTCAAGCTAGCAGCACTCCCGGCACCAGCTTGATCATCCTCACCGGGCGTCACAGAGGCAAGAGAGTGGCCTTCCTGAGGCAGGTGGCCAGTGGCTTGCTGCTTGTGACTGGGCCTCTTAGCCTTAATTGTGTTCCTCCACGAAGAACACATCAGAAATTTGTCATTGCCACCTCTACAGAAATTGATATCAGCAAAGTGAAAATCCCCAAACACCTCCCTGATGCTTACTTCAAGAAGAAGAAGCTGCAGAAACCCAGACACCAGGAGGGCGAGATCTTGGACACCAAGAAAGAGAGATACCAGATTTCAGAGCAGCGCAAGGTGGATCAGAAAGTGGTGGACTCACAGATTTTAGCAAAAATCAAAGCTGTTCCTCAGCTCCAGGGCTACCTGTGATCCATTTTTGCTCCTACAAATGGAATTTATCCTCATAAATTAGGGTTCTAAATTTCTCACTAAGAACCTAATTAAATAACTGACACATTTATTTATTTATTTATTTTTGGCAGAACCAGGGATTGAACTCAGGCCCTTGCGCTTGCCAGGCAAGCGCTTATTCTACTGAGCTATCTCCCCAGCCCCAGACTTTTAAATAAATAAATAAAGTCAATGATTCATTTCTCTCTGGCTCATATGCTTGCTCTCAGTCTTGCGTGCTCTCTTACGTGCTGGTGCTGTCTGTCTGTCTGTCTATCTGTCTGTCTGTCTGTCTCCATCTCTGTCTCTGTCTCTGTCTCTCTGTCTCTGTGTGTAGGTAGGTAATAGGGATTGAATACAAGGCCTTTGTACTGAGCTACATCCCCAGCTATTTAATTTTTTTCTTTTTCTTTTGAAACAAGGTCTCCCTAAGCCATTAAGCTGCCCAGGATGGGCTCAAACTTGCCGTCCTTCTGCCTCACTCTCCCAGAGTGCTAGGATTACATATACCCAACCCTCTCATTAGGTATTTGTGTAAGATGTGAAATAAAGATTGCAGGGTTCTTAAATGTGGATATCCACTTGACCTGGCACTGTTTTGCTGTTGTTATTGCTTCTGCTGCTGCTGCTATTGTTATTTTAAATTTATACTGGTACGTGCTTATAGAATACAACAATTTTTTTTGAGACAGGGTTTCTCTATGCAGTTCATGCTGGACTTGAGCTCACTTTGTAGCCTGGGCTGGTCTCAAACTCGAACGATCCTCCTGCCTCGGCCTCCCCAGTGCTGGGATTGCAGGTGTGCACCACCACACCCAACTGGACACAATGATTGTGTTCGTGATGGGAAATTAGTACATGTACGTGTCACTCTTGAAGTTTTGATTCCTCTCTGTGCTCCTTCATTGCTTTGTCCCCTTCCCATGTGCAAACACTCTCTTTTGTTTTTATTTTTTATTCTGAGACATGATCTCACTAAGTCACTATGTTGCCCAGGGTGTGTTCAAATTTGTGGTCCTCCTGCCTCAGCCTCCCAGACTGCTGTGACTATAGGCTTGACACTGTCTATTAAAAACTGTTTTCAAAACAAAAAAACACTGTTTTCCTCCACAAAATTCTAGGACTGTCTTTGTTAAAAATGGAGTGACTGTATACATGTGGGTCTATTTCTTGTCCCTATTCTGTTTTTCTGTCTATTTCAACTTGCACCAATTATAAAAGGTTCTTGGGCTGGAGAGATGGCTCAGTGGTCTAAAGCACCTACTTGAAACAAGCTTGGCAAAGCACAAGGACCGGGGTTCAATCCCCCAGCACCACATGCCAGCCAACCCCGCCCCCTGGTGGGCTGAGCTGGCCACACACACACACACACAATAAATAAATGTAATAAATAAAAATAAATAAATATTTAAAAAAAAAAGGTTCTTGTTGTAGTAGCTTCAAACTAGCTCTTGAAGTCAAGTAATATGAGCTAGTGTATTTGTTTTTCCTTGAAAATATTTTACCATAGGTCTTTTAGTTCCATACAAATTTTAGAACCAGCTTGTCAATTTTCCCCCAATAAAAAAGTGCTAAGATTTTTATTTGAGTTGCACTGAATTTTATAGGGCAAGTGAAACCTTAATAATATTGAGTCTCCCAATCCATTTATTCAGCTTTTAAAATTTCTGTCAACGTTTTAAAATTTTCAGTGTAAAAGAATTTCTTTTACTACATTAATTCCTCTGTCTGTGTGTGTGTGTGTGTGTGTGTGTGTGTGTGTGTGTGTT